TATTTTTATACCTCAAGAATATATTCTTCAACAAACAATTCTAATTTATAGTTTTCATTATTGAGGTAGAGCCGCATTTAAACTTTCAGGGGCCCAAATCAAATTTATTGACACCATAGTTAAAAAAATTGACCCCAACAATTTTAAAAACCAATTCTCGAAATCTAGGTACTAGTTTCACCAGGACAATTTACCATCTATAATCAAGAAATTAAGTCCCCGCCAAAAAATTATTTTATTAAAATATTGTTTAGAATAGCGAAAATTATATGACATCCCCAATTTTTTTTTAACACTTTTAGCGGTCAATGAAGAACTATTATGGAAAGAAGAAGTTTTGAAACCTAAGCATATTTCATTCTAGTTTCATCAATGAATATAGGTTTAGTTGATCCTTATAGTTATAGTAAAAATATAAATATTAATACTCATAATTGAATATTTTTTTATGATTTTGTTGGTGTCTTTCCATTGCAAAGTTTAATGTATTTACTTTTGGTACCATTTGATAAAAATACAAAAATATAATTGTTTTATGAATTAAATTTTTTTTGTTTTTCATAAATTTTTCTATGATTATACAGGGTGGCCCAACACTCACTGACAACTTAAATAACTTTTGATCCAGTTAATATTTTTAGTTGATTTTTTTTTTAAATAATAGTTATACGTTAGGAGGTCTATAGCTATATCTCAATAATTAATTTTTTTACATTTTATTAAAAATATTAATTATTTTTAAATTTTAAATAAAATGTAAAAAAAAAATCTAAGATAGCTATTTTGTAGAGTAGAATTTAAGAAAAATGTTAGTAAAAAAATATCTTATTAATATTGAGTAGTAAATATTCTGTAGCGTTTTGAAGTTTGTGAAAATTTGAATTTTCATGTACTATTTTACGGTATTAAACATTGAAATACGTATTGAGAAAAGGACAGAAGAAAACGCTATCTTTTCATGATTACTACTGTGTATACATATGATGATAGTGTGTATACATTACAAACTTGGCATTAATACCATGATAAGAAATTAGATAAGGCAATTATTACTTATCACTCTCATTCAAAAGTATATTGAATAACTATTATTTAAAAAAAAAATCAACTAAAAATATTAACTGGATCAAAAGTTATTTAAGTTGTCAGTGAGTGGTGGGCCACTCTGTATGCTTAAATTAAATGTAAAGTTTTTAATCTATAAAAAAAAATATATCGATATTAAAACAATAGCGTTAAAAAAGAGATTATTGAGTTATATCTCCTTTATCCATGTCTATTTTCATCGTGATAAATTAGTCATGTTGAAGAGCAAGTCACTGTATTTAAAGTTTTTTCATTATTTCTCATTATATTGTACATATATTAATGATTAAATATTATAAAATAATATATATTTTCCATGGTTGTTACGTTTTAAACAATTTAAACTGATTATTTATGTTTAAAACAGGGTTTTTTTTAACAACCCTGATATTTTCTGTATTGTTTGCCTTTTTCGGTGTTTTTTATTAACAAATAAATAATTTTAATTTAACTAATTGAAAAAGTTAATATATATATATCATTTATTTGTATGTATAGCATTATTTATTTTCTACTTTTTACACGTTTATAAGAATACTTCTTAGTTATTTATGTTAAGTTAAACTTGTATATTTATCGTATTTAACAAGTAATTTCATATTGTTGATCAATACAATAGTTAACAACTTGTTTTTAATATTCATCATATGAGTTCAATTAGTGTTAGATATTTATTGCATTTTAAAGTTTACACGCTATTCTACGAATTATAGTTCAGCTTTCCGTTATCAAATCATTTCTAAGAAGTAAGAATTGAATTTTATACATTAAGTCTGAGTTTAGACTTTTATAGCTTAAGTCTAACGTAGTTTTTATTTGATATCAAAATGTTTTCAGATAAACTTGGAATATGTATATGACAATTTATAGCTTGAAATTAATTTCTTTATAAATTTTACTATACATATATATTTGTTGTAAAACGCTACACTCGATTTCTCTTAAAATAATAATTATGTAAAGAAAATTATTTTGGTATTATTAGTGTCATAAATTTTTTAATTTATCAGTTTACTCTTATTGCTTATAAGGGTGTTAATTTTAATTTTTTAAATTACAACATACTATTGACCATAACTCATATAATAAAAAATTATTTAATTAAGAAAATGACTGGTCGATAACAACTTTAGAACTAGTATTTAGAAAATTATTAACATTTATACAATTATACAAAGGTGGGAGGAGAAGTTCATCCGAGAAATGTCTAATGAGAAATACTGTCATACTGACGGCCATAAACAAAAATAAATAGACATGTTACGTGTATTACGTTGAAGCTAATATATGATGTTAAATATAATTTTTCATTAAAGACTTTAAATAATTAATTCTATGTAGTAATTTGAAATGTATGCATTTAAAATTTTAAAATCGAGTGATAATAAATAACATAGTACATNATTTGAAATGTATGCATTTAAAATTTTAAAATCGAGTGATAATAAATAACATAGTACATTAAAATAAAAAATTTCTGAGATAAATTTTCTTTAATATCACTCGTTCCTAGTTTATTTATTTTTATATCAATGCTCGTTCCTCCTTTCCAATCTATATATATAAATATATGTATATTAATCTATATATTTTAAAATAGTAATAACTTTCGAAAAATTGGCTAAAAGTTGATATCGACTATTCATATTCTTAATTAGTTAATTTTGTAAGCTATTTAAAAATTCGTTATAATTTTTTAAATAAAAACTAATAAATCAAGGAAATATGACATTAAAAAATTCCAAACATAATTTTCTTTACATGATTATTATTTTAAGAGAAATTGAGTGGCTAGTATTAAAGTAATTACTCTGTAATTAAGAGCATTGATTAAAGTTATTTAACAATAACTGTTTTTTCGCCAGACCAGATTAGAAGTTACCCATAGGCCCTGGGTAATAATTGAATACCAAAAGTGTAACGGAAATAAAAAAAGAAATAAATTTTTAGACTGTTTATTTCTTATTAGCTTCGATGCGAAGCTGAGAAGGTATTGGTTTTACTATGATGTGTTTTTTTTTTTTTTTTTTTTTTTTTTT